TGAACATTTCAATTTACTGTGTAAGGATGTAAACTCTAACTTTATTATTCGCTTCCACATTAAAGATATAAATTCATTTCCTTTAAGGTTTTAGGCCTTCACATCTTTTAGGCCGATTGAAGAGAGGTATTTATACCTCTCTTCCCTCTGATCCTGGTTGTTCATCTGTGTCGACGTGGAGCGAGGAGAGTCGTCCAATCGTTGCTTGTTTAGGTAAATCGTATGTACGAATTTGGATCGTCCATTGCAATCAATCCCATTCGTTCGATCGCGTCTGAAGAGGAAATGCATATGGACTGTTCGTGCGCGCAGGATGCGATCTGGACCGTCAGATCGCCCAGGCACGTAGATTGCCTGCGTGGCCTCTTGCATGAAGCTGATGTCAACGTGTCCGCTACGTGGCGCGTTCTGACTCGTCGTGGTTACTAATAGAGCAGTCCCACGTGGTCATTTTTTATTTTATTTTTTGTGATTTTACCCCGTTTTTAAAATTTCTTTCAAAAATACTTCCTTTATTTACAATTTCATCCTTTTTTTCTTCATAATTGTTTTCAATTTCATTCATAATCTTATTTTTCTCAAAAAATTTACAAAATTAAGATAAAATAAGATTTAATTATATATATATTATTATTAATTGAAACAATTACTCATGACTAAATTTTCGGACCCAGGTATTACAACCGTTGTCATTACCATACATTAATACACAATTTTCTCAAACATGATATAATTTTATAATTATCATCTTGTGCAATTACCAAATCTTATCGTACATTAATTACCCATAAAAAAAAATCAACCAAAGACAATAATACACAAAAGTTCTTCTTGCTCTCTTCTTACTCTCTTCTTTTGTTGTGTCATTTTCTCTTTGTGTAACTCCTTACGCTGCACAGATACACACTCTTTCTCTTTATTGTTGTATTGGCGAGAATGTTTGGAAATAGGAGTGGTTGACAGTATTCATTGTGTTCGTGGTCGTCTAGTCAACAAAGAGGCTTCTTTAGGATAGGATAGGATGGGGAAGAGACCGTCAAGGCAGGGGTCGTGGCAACTCATCTGGCTTCGGACAAGATGTTCATATGCCTGTCGCTGCGGCTCCTCCCACCTCGCGACCGACATTCATCCCGGTTGCAGCTCCAAGTGTGGCTATATCTCCTAGTCCCTTGAACACTAACTTGGCCATGAGACTGACACTGGAGTCAGCACCTACGCCACCCGCGTCATCGAAGGCTATTACATTTCCAGCGAGGCTAGATGTTGGAAAGTCAGGATACAAGTGTCAAATTCGGGCAGACTACTTTTTGGTTGGGTTCACCGATAGAGATTTATTTCATAATGTAGCACCTAATCTTGCAACTTTTTTTTTTTTTTAAATCTTTAGTTAATTAATTATTAAGTTTACACTTTCTTTATTCCTTTCCTTGCTAATGATCTTTCTATTTTTTTCTCTTTTGTTAGATACTTAATTGTATTTATTATTTATTACAACTATTATTTTTTACGAAGACTCAAATTAGATCAATCTATTTGTTTCCGAATAAAATTTATTACATAATTTCGTTTCAGCTTATTTCTTTTCGAATAAGATCTATTGCATAATTTGGTTTTCTTTCTATCTTGAGCCTCACTGCTCACCTAGATCTCCTACAAATCTTTAAATGCTTCCTGCTTAGTTTCTCAATAGGCTTGCCAAATGGAGCTGGTACGGATGAGTTCGAGACTAGGGACGAGGGCCAGTGGTCATACTTGGAACTGCAACCGGAATCAATACCAATCGCGAGGTGGGAGGAGCCGCAGCGACAGGCGTAGGAACATCTTGCTCGGAGCCAGAGGAGTTGCCACGACCCCTGCCGCAGCAGCCTCTTCCCCGTCCTGACCCAGAGAAGCCTCCATACTGGCTAGACGGCGGCGAAGACTGAGAATACTGTCGACTACTGCTGTGTACAGACATTTCCGTCAATACAACAATAAAGAGAGAGTGTTGGTGTCTGTGCGTGCGTAAGGGACTGCACACTAAGAAAATGGCACAAGAAAGGAAAGAAGCAAGAAGAGGGCAAGAAGAAGACTTACGTTTATGGAGAGAGAGAGAGAGAGAGAGAGAGAGATTCTTACTTCTCTTTATTGATTTCTGGATGATGGATTCCTAAATTTTCGGGTTGCTAACGTTCTTTTCCATCTGGGTTTCTAGTCTGTATGTTCTTTCCTGTTTGTCCCTTTGCTCCTTTTATATTGGTTTGTTTGGTTTTGCTGTCCTCTTTCTCTTCCCCAAATCTTCGTTCGCATAATTTTGGATTTTTATTTATACTACTTTTAGTTTGTTAGTTTAAGATTCAGTCCCTCTTTTGATTATATTGGTTTCTTTGCCTGGGTCGGATATTTGTTTGATTTGTGGGCTTTATTGTACGAAACTGCAACTGGGCAGTCTTCCAAGAGAATTTCATGTGCAGATTAATACAGGAAGTGATCTTTCGTGGGTTAGCCGCAGTTCCTGCAATGGTTGCCCAGAAAATAGTGGACTCCATGTAAACTGATTTTTTCTTGATTAGAATATTTCCTATTTGAGATACCTCTTTGTTGATATCGTTGTATGTTATCAAACAAGTAATGTTACCTTATTTCAGTAGAGTGCTTAATTGACTATTTTCTTTTCTCCCCCAAGATTCAGCTCAATTTCTTTGACCCTGGGAGCTCATCAACATCTTCATTGATCTCCTGTAATGATGCAGTTTAGGAATTCAATCATCCGATTCTGGCTGTTCTGCTCAGAACAATCTGTGTGGTTACACTTTTCAGTACGGAGATGGTACTGGTACTTCAGGCTATTATGTCTCAGATTTGATGTACTTCGACACAATTGTTGGCAATACTTTGATAACAAATTCTTCAGCTCCTGTTGTCTTTGGGTGAATTAACATGAATTTCTGAAGGTTCAAATAGTGGTTATGTTCACATGCCTTATATAGCTTAGAGCATGAAATTTATTTCCTTGATAATTCTGGCCATGGACAGTTGTAGCACGTTACAAAGGGGGGACTTGGTAAAGTCAGATAGAGCAGTTGATGGGATCTTTGGATTTGGCCAGCAGGATTTGTCTGTTATCTCACAGCCTGCTTCGCAGGGATTAACCCCTAGGGTATTGTCTCACTGTCTGAAGGGAGATGGTGGTGGTGGAGGTATACTGGTTCATGGTGAAATTCTGGATCCACATATACTAGACATTCCACTTGTGCCATCACAGTATGTTATTTTCTTGAACTCTTTATTTCCCATTTTGCATCACTGAAATTTTTCATCCCGAAAGAATAGTTATTTTGGGACATGCTATGAGTCTTCAACTTGATACATTCTATCACGAAAGTGGGTTTTTGGCTCTCTATCC